TCAGATCAATGTTCTAGAATTTCAGCTATTTTCGAATTCGTTAATTGTCACTGACATTAAATGGGGTTAGGTTTTGAGCGATTTTGTAGAAGGGATCATAGGTATTATGTGACATAAAGCAATAATTCATTTGTCATGCGTGATTTATTGCTGATAAGTGTTATTGAAATTCATTTCCAATGCACGTTTCGCAACTCTAAATGCATGGCAATTAATATTATTGCATTGCCGGTATGCAATCGATTAAATCGTTTATAATTTTCGAAAAGAGTAAAAATATCGAATCTCGTATAGTATAATTGTGGATCCAGCTCCAAATATATTAAATGTAATAAAGTAATTAAATGTATTAAAAGTAAAAAATATTGTAATTTTTCAGTGATATTAGAATAATTTCTGATGACCGGTAGTAGAAACCCAAAGTTGTTTTATTTCACTGAAAAGTATCAATGTCCGACAGGGAACGAATTGCAATGACACTTTTCGAGATTCATGGCGTCGAATAGGGTCACGTAAGAAAGAGTGCATCGCTGGGGAATCCTCGTGTGAAAAATAACTTCTTCTGAGGAACAATTAAGAAAATGACGTCCGTAAATTTTCGTAAGTCACAGAAGCGTTTTAAAAGTGTCTCTTCGTGAACGACGTAATTGCTTCCATCAATCCGCACTGAGACAAATTAAAGTAGCATCAGCGAATGCGGCACAACCTCTTGGATTTAACGACATTTCCATAGTTCAAAGAACGATTGAGACAGATAGTTCTTCGATAAGAATTCTTCGTTAGAATATCTTAAACGAAATGACGCACGAAATTAAAGGAACAAAATTTAAGAAGGAAGAGCGGCTCTAAACTAAAATTCTTCTTAGTTTTAAAAGAATGACGTTTCTCTTCCATTTATTGAAAAATAATTTTGAAGAGATCATCTCGATTTTCGATCAATTGTTAACGAAGCTGGCAAAATGGATACATTAATGAAATACGATTACGATTTTCAAGTTCGTATAAAAAGAATGATTAAGCGCCATGAAATTGCTGGATATCACCGTCATTAGTGGCGCGCAAATAAAAGTAACGTTTGAAATACCTGGCGCGGGCAAAGAGGGACCCGCCTTATTTTTCCGAGAATACTAATTAAGTATTACTAATTAATTCTGCAGGTTGATGTAATTTATGCGAACAGCTCGTTACCAAACAGGTGGTATTCAGCGGCTAATGACCTAGGAACACCAATAATTCATTGATTAACGCCATCTACTGAATAAACAATAAACGCTCCACTCTGCCATCCCTCCTCGTATTCTCTCTCTCTCTCTCTCTCTCTCTCCCTCTCTCCCTCTCCCCTTCTATATATATTATATATAAAGCCTCGGACTCGCCACCTTTTTCTTCTTCCACTAAAATATAACAGTCAAATTTAATAAGACACCACGATAATTCATTACAGGTTGCACGAGTGCTTTCTGAAAAGACGCAGGGGAAATTTAATACTTTTTCAGCATTGCCTCAAAAACATTATCTTAATAGGAGGTCTCATTAGGTCTTAATTGTGTTCTAAAGTGTATATCTCGAATAGACTTTCTCACCAAAAAAAGAGTAACGAAAAGCTCAGATTTAATATCGGTTGTTCGAGAACAGATTGAATCCCACCTTTTCTCAATCTTTCTTCTTTCCTGTCTTTCTATTGTGCACGGTACGTAGCTGCACGCACGATTGAACGGAGAAGCTAAGGAAGAGATAGGTGAAATCTATACGGGATAACGTCCCTCCTGGAGTATCAGGATGGCGGATCGGCAATTTATCGAAGACGGAGACCGTTCGCGACGGAATAGGCAAGTAACTACCGAACATTACGAGGTCTTCACGGCGATCTGGATAAAATAGCGTATAATTAGATAGGGTGTAAGATATATTTGGAGTGTGTCCATGTTGGCCCACGGCCAGAGTTCACCCTTTTGATATACACCAGCAAACGAGGTCAAGAAGGTGCCCCTTGTGTCAGGGGGGTAGACCGCCACCGCGTTCGGCAACTCTCGTACCGCATGGATTGATTAAATCTGCTATAAATTATTAGTCGTTATTTGATTTCGATCAGGGCCAGTGCGCAGTATGGTTTTCATATTTATCGTTTCGTAGCTTTTAACGATAACCGTCGCGAAAATTTTGATTAATGGAAGGGAAGATTGGGGTCGGTATTGAATGAACGCGTTTATGAGTAAACTCACTTTGGTCGACGAAGAATTAAATATTCGTAACGTATTTTATTTATGGAAGATTAATATTTCTAGAGCACCTTTGTACAATAATTTATTAAGTAATAATATTTCTCAGTCGACCAATAACAACTCTTTACAATTTTACAATCTCACGTCGGTTATAGTTTGTAAAAATTGAATTTCTAAGTATTGTAAATCATCTAATGACATCGTTTTTTGTGTTCTCAAATACTGTATCTGTAGGTGTCTGATAATATGTATATTAAGGGACTTCAAATATTGATTCATTCAGTAATTCCAATGTAATTCCAGTTTTCGATACCACGAGACATCGAATCAAGCGGAAAGATGAGGTTCGTTAACGCTAATTAGAATTAATAGATAACAATGTAAGTCGACAGTATCGAACGTAATCCACGTCATTTATGAACATGCTGCGTGCGTTCACGAGAGAGCTTTAGCTTAGCTTAACACCGTAGAAAATTAATTGCGCACACTTGACAAGTTAAGCCGCAGCGTGTAATTAAGAAATATCTGATACCAAACTTTCGCCCAGTTCGGAATTTATAGCAACGCCAATGTTCGAGAATTTATCAGCTAGTGACGTAAAGATTCGTCAAGTGCAACACCGATATTTCAAGAAAAATAGAGCAGAGTGATGTACAATATCAAAAGAACAGTAAATGGCTTTCCGTGTTATACTGTAAATTATGTGCGACACTTTATCGACTATAAAAATTTACTTGCAACTTTCGTATCTTTTCTCACTTCTGACAAGAAATAATAAGCCATTTTTACTTTGTAATCTTGTGTTCTAAGAATTTTATTTTTCGCAAGTATTTTCTCGAAACTATAAAAATATAGGTATAGTAGAGCTTGCCTTATCTAAATTAATAGAGAGACAAATCTGTTCAGCTAATAGAACAATCATCTTTCCGATATGAAATTTCATTTATTCGAATATCGAAGATTAATTGACAGATTCTTTAAATATTTATGGACTTCGTATCTTTTTGACTGTTAAATCACATCATTTTTTCAACATAAACAACTGCATCGAGCTATATCCTTTTTATACTTCGAACCATCGAATTTTTTTGAATGCTACGAATGCTCCAGCTTAAGAAGACACCTCTCCGTTACAATTTTTGTTTGTTGCTTCCATTTATATAAATTCGTCCTTATTATCGTTTTTATCGTAACAAAACTATTTCATTATATCAATATATCTAAGGTTGTTTTTTTTTACTGTTGTCAACATCCGAGCAATTTACTTGCTTTAAATAGTTTTCAATATCATGCTTTTATCTTTTAATATCTGTGATTGTGGCTTTTCCAACATCATGTGTTTTGATTCTGTTGTACGTACACCCCTTTCGAGTTTTTTAAGTATGTCGTATATTGCCCCGATAGTTAGAATGTTATTAGTTTCATATTAAATTCCTATAATCAGAATTCATTTAATCGAATAAAGAGAAGAATACATTGTGTACGAACACTAATAAAATATATACATATTTGAAATGGAAAAAGGCATTAGATTCTGGGGAATATTATGTTCGGATAATATAACGTTCAGATATTAGAGTATTTGGATAATGGCTGTACAAATAAGGGAACCCCTACTGTAGTAATATCATCTTCTATCAAATCAATCCAGTTACGTGAATTCACTTTTCAACGCAAATACCAATATCGTTGGACTTTCAAGTTTCGTTGTGTGCGCGCTAAGAGATTCACAATACTCAACACTCAGGATTCAGTTGTCCATTTCCTTGCGTACAACGGTTTGGTTCGCGTGCTTCATCGTTTCTAGTTTGATTCACAAAAGGTCTAGAGCCTGCATCGAGAGCGGCTATGATTCTGAAACGGGGAACGAGGTAGATAAGGGGTTCGCGATTATTCACCGTTGAATTTCAGTTCCTCGCGTTCAACGTTTGCACGATGGCCCTCACGATGGCTCAACGAAAAGCCGGCGTAGCGACTGATTTGCTAAAATTATTCTTTACGTTGAAAGTAACGAGCGTGGTGTTGCCGATAACCGACAGGAAACGGCCACTCGTAAATCCTCCTCGTATCATATGATTCACGAAATGGTCTGGTAGTTTCATTATGTTCTACGTAATTGGCGACTCGATTCAGGACTCGACTGTTCCGAAAATGGACCCTTCCTTTCGCCAAGATAACGCGCTGTAATAAATCATCTGCAACGAACAACTCACCGAGAAATCTTTGGTATCTTCTTTTTAATCATTCGTAAGAAAGATGCTTACTCTGATGTTATTTAAAAGGTAAAGTACCGAAGTGAGTAGGAAAGTAATTGAATGCTGAGTATTTCGATCTCATGAACTGTGATTGATTGCCACTGCTGTAAAATTACATCATTTCGTAAAATAACAGAATGATGATAAAGTACGAAACAATATCAAAATGTAAGTGAACTTAAAATCCGTAAAGAAATTATCGTTCGACATAATAAGTAATTATTATGATATGCTACTGTGAAAAATGAAAGTCCACAATAACTACCTATAGTTTTATTTCCTTTCAACTTCTCCTTACTTTACTGATTACAAACTCGATAAGAATTTCCAAAATGTTCCATAGACATTTGACTCGGCAATGAAACAATAAATTTTCATATATAAAAATATGGATAACGTGAATAATAATGCGAGTAACGATGTGAATAACGTTCACTAACAAAATTTTATTACTCTACCTCAACACCTTATCATCAAACTCAGCAAAACGCAAGAAATCAAAGATACCATTTTGTGATTTCAGAAAGTCTTAGAGAGTACTTCACCAAGTATGGGGACATCACAGAAGTCATGGTCATGAAAGATCCTACTACGCGACGATCAAGGTAAGCGAGATTCCGCTCAAGAAACACCTTAACGTTCCCTAAAAACAGAAACTATCCCTATTCTACCCCTTATTCTTCCTTTATCAGTTACAAAAATTTATCGACCAGGGACTTCTTCGTATCTTTGCGTCTTTATGCATGGCGATAGCGATCCAACGGATATCCTGCCTTTTAATAGCGATACGAGTATTCGCGATCGCTTATCTCGACGTAGTTTTATGGAACGTGGTACCCTTCGGATCCTGAGTTATGGGGGCGTTTGACGATCGACCATGGATTTCTAGACCCCTTATTAGAAGCGCCCCGCAGTTCTGCGTTCGCGTGTTCACGTTTCCTTTCGACCGCAGACATGCAAGCCGAGTGCCGCGTTCTATTCTTGCGCATTATGCTAATCGCAACTCGGATTAAACAAGCGGCGAATATATAATATCGGTATTCGTTAAGAACGACTTGGGGCCATCAGATCGGTCATTAGCCGCGATAACGACGATCTTAGTAGCCAGAATGCCAGGCCCGTTGGTGCTTCTATGGATTTATAACATTATAAGATAATGATTGGTTGTGCCACTTCGGAGATGATTGAAAAGAGGCTGTCACGAAACTTGTTGATATACGAACAGCCTACAGCGATGATTAATTGAATGCGAAGATTTATATGTTAAGAAACAATGATGCCATGTTGCTTTCAGAAATATTTAATTCATTCAGTAAACAAAGTAACTAGAATAATTGTGTCGTTTTTATATCGATTTCGGAGAAGAAGGAAAGTATCTCAATTCGACATATATATTTTTTTTCTTTTCTCTTTTTCATATCTATGTTTGTCGATTTCTCTGAAACGGCTTGATCAATCGAAAAGGTCCTTTTTGCATCATGTACGGCATATCTGGTTGATCCTATTACAAAACTTTTTTGCATTTGCTTTCTTCATTAAACTATATTTTTTTGCAAAAATCTTCCAGGTCCAGTCCACTGAACGCACTCGTTTGCAAAATTTCTCCGATTTGTTCATTGTTAGGTATTGTTATTGCAGAAAATTTGTTATTCACTTATTTCATTTAGCTGTGTTCAGTGATTGCTCTGCAATTATTGGATTGATATCGAGATAATTTCAAAGCAGTAGCTTGTCGCAGAAAACATTATTCTGCGGATTCGATTTTCGGCCATAAAGCACTTTCATTGCGAAATAATGTATGACACAGTATTACGTTATAAAAATATCGTCCTCTATCATTATTTAAAATATAATATCGGTCGCGGAGCTCACTTATTCCTTATTCGCGTGCATGATTGTACAGTTCATGTAATTTTTTATTCATTGATAAGAATTAAGAATAGAAATAAATAATAAATAGATAGAATTAAATTACCGCTTTATTAATGACAATGAAGGGCATTTTACGTTGGCTCTAATATTAATCGCATCACTAAAAAATTTAAAATAAAAGATTTTTTGCTGAGAAACTATTACTTATTTCGAAATAATTTCTACTTTAACTGTATTTTATTTAGGCACATATGTAACAATTATTAAGATTACTCACTTACTTCCTGAACAGCACATTAAATATATTGCAACCTTCTCGAAGTTGGCACAAAGTTAAAAATACAACAAGTGTATAGTATATATTCATTTCTAATTGTATAACATCAGTAATGGTAACGATCGTATCTTAAGTTAGTAACAAACTTGTTGTATATATAATTCCATTAACCACTACACTGTTAATACACTGAACGTCATTTGTACCCACGCGGGTACAAATGGCGTTTTTCAATGTGGTTACTGTCAAAACATGTTTTTGACGACTTTTGTGTCATAATGTATTGCAATTTAATGAAATTAAACTGAGACATGAAGTTTGAATAATATAAATATAAATGTGTTAAAATTTTTTATTGTGCCGCTTAAGCATTGCCATACTAGAAACATTTTGAGACATTTTGCTCCCTCCTCGAAAATCTTGCTATATATTTAATGTGCTGTTTCATAAATAAACGAGTAATCTTGACTGTTGTTGAATATGTGCCTAAATAAAATACAAATAAAATAGAAAATATTTCATACTTTTTATTACATTTCGATACCGGCGATATCTTATTTCCAAAAGATCTTTTATCAACATTATCAAACATTTGTCTCATTCCATAATTATAAATGTGATTAAGTAAAATTAACTTCCTTTCTTTTCAATCATTTTTACTTTCTTATATAATCGTAATCGACTGAGAAAAGAACATTTATCGATGGATCTCAAATATCTTGTAGAAATTGACAATCGAATTTCGAGGCAGGCTGATAACCTATTTTCGGCACGGTCGGACCGTTTGTGATGTCTTACGATAGATACGGGAAAGGGATAACGGACACGAAATCCGCGTGCGCGCAGATGCGAGCGAAGCTATCTGGTGCAGCGGGCGGCGAGTTGGTAAGTGCGATGCATCTGCGGTAGATAGCGAAAGGAAATAATGGGCGCCTGGGATCGGTTGGCGGTGCGCGCAGGTAAAGCTAGCTCTTTCGCGTTCGTTGTCACATTTATCTGGCTGATAAGTCTATTCTTGGCCAGCGCATCTGGCCCTACCATCTTCGAATACGTGGCGCGTGCTGGATGCCTATAAGAGTACGTGTCATTATTAATGCCATGCACCGCGTTGCCGAAATAGAGCTTGCACGCGTGCGTTGTCTGAACTATCAGTTTTAACGTAGAATTCATTAATGATTGTACAGGACGTTTTTTAACAATTAAGATTAAGAGATAAATTTAACTCTCAATATTATTAAGTCATGAATGATCACGATTGGTTTGGGTTAGATTGGCTTGATTTTAAGATATTTAATTTCTACTCGCGTTGAAGGCCAGCAATGATATATTCAACGAGTATAAAATATAAAATATATGTAGAGATAAAACTACTCTAACACTGAATAATTTGTTTCAAACTGCCGTGGATCACTTGTATTATTGACAATTATATTGCTAACCATTTGAGGATTAAACGTTTCCGCAAGAATAGAAAATCGGTATAGCCAATTCATTTCTCACCTAACTATGAAAGAATTACGAGTTTTCAGGAACAAGAATTTCAACTTTTGAATCTACGATGGAGGATCATGCCCGCCTCCAGAACCAAAACGTTATTATATAATTATTCCGTATTCTAATTCGAGAAGTGGCGAATAATTTGCAGTTCATATGCGTCACGATGGTGACAAATGTCCGCTGCTCCTTTCGATGCCAGCATTTTGTCGCGAAATATTAAGCACGACTCGCGCGAGTACACCTGTCGAATAAAAACGTTCAAGCGAATTGAGCGGAAATTGTAAATCTGTACGGTTGTCAGCGAGTCGACAAAATTTATGAATGGAAAAACACTGATGTATACACTGTTATAGTGGAAGTTGGGAAACACGATCAAGCTGGGAGAAGAGTTAATAGCGTGTTGTACAGACCAATATAAATTTATCGATGGTTTTAATAAGATTCTCTCGCTTCTTGCTAAAGATCCTCGAATATTCGCTCCGACGCAGGAAAACCAAAATAATCTCCGTCGTTTTCTCGGGGATATTGATGACGTCATTGCTATGTGTGAACTCGTCAAGAATTTCTGCCCTGTTTCTCGTATCGGGAACACCGGTAAATGCGGAAAGGCAAGGGTAACTGACAAGCTGAGGATTGGCACGTCTATAAATAATTGAGCCTTCCGAACGAATACATCTTCGCGTCTCCTTATACACTTGAAACTCTTACGTTTGGAAACTCGTTTACGCGCGATCGTCGAGAAGCTGGGACGTTAGCTCGTCGCCATGTTTACGAACGTCTGAAAATTTGGCGCGAACTGTTAAAGATATGAAACGTTAAATAATTTCGAATTTTTAATTTACATTTGAATACTTAAAATTTGAAATTTAAATTGAAAATTATTTTAAGCCCGAAATCCGTTTCATCGACACTTTGCGTCTAATATATTGGGAGATTTCAATGCTTGCAAGTGATCGTTAATCCTCCAAACTCTAATTTCATTTTGTTTCCTTTCTGCGAACTTTAGCCGGAACCAGAATGGTTTTTTGCCGTTTATCACCACTGCATTAACGTATTCATTACGTAGTTTTGCGTGACTCGGCGCAAGGAACGACGTATGCCTTGAGTTTATTCGATTTTACCACACCAGCATTCCTGTACTAGCCGTTCTTACATTTCGCTCATATTTCAACGTTTATTATTTTGCAATATTGATAATTAAATAATTTATTTTACTGTAGATTATTCGAATACATATTAAATATTAAACACGTCTCCACTGATAGTAAATCATTTTCAACAGAACAAAGATTTGACGAAACCAGTCGCTCGCTCGCTCATTCTTTGAACTCCTACCGAGATAGTTGCTTTCTGTTAATTCAGACTCCTGTGCAATTTGCACAGTTTCCCTCTAATTGTATCTTAACAGCTGATGCAAATTGTCCGAAGTTCTGGTTAAGTTTCCAAGTGAAATTGTTGCGTCGTGACTCGGTAACCTTGCGAGCGTTGTGACTCGAGCTCGTCTAGACGTTTTGCGTTGCATACCGAACAAAAACAGGCATTTTCACCTGCAAACGAAATCGAGCAACAATTACAGAGGCGAATCTGACAGACAGAAAATCCACGCGCCGGTTACGAACGTTAAATGCCGGCATCAGAGTAATTACCGGTTTTTAAGTGGAGGAAACGAGGGGACGACAACGACCACGACGTCGACGAGGGTTGAAAGAAGGGGTGAGAAATCGACGGGGAGGGTGTGTCGAGGTGGCACAGGTGGCTCTGCACCGAAGGGGAAGCGGTCGAATTTCAAGTGCAAAGTGCTTTCCGAAAGTGGATTCCAGCAATTTCGGGAAATCCTCCTTGTCATCGTGCTGCAATTGACAGTGTCGCGTATTGAAAGTATTTAGAGATACAAAATTTTGTGGCTTAGTATATGATCGTTTTTTATTTTGATTATTTTTGAAAAACAAAGACTTTTCA